TTAAAAAAATTATCCCGTTGTTCGACTTTAAAATAATATCGGGTGATCCTGCCATGACAGTCCTTGTTCAGCCACTTCCTGTAGTGTGGTGCCAACATTTTGTCCCCCAACTGCTCTTATGGGTTGTCACCCTGTCACATGCACTTCTGACGCTGCAGGGGGCCGGGGGTGAAATAGGATTTTATTCAAAGAATAAGTGCATCCTTTCTGCTCCTGTCCACTGACATCACAAAGACGATCCCACCGCCCCTTCCCCCCCACAGATGCATATTTACCAAGATCAGGCACCCTCCCACCTTTGTTTACATCCAGTATCAAAGTCCTTGTGTCTGCGCTGTAGAGCCCCATAGACTTCTAAGTGGCCATCCTACCTCCATCTCCCAGTCTGCAAACACAGGGATGGGGAGCCCTATGGACTTCTAAGTGGTCCATCTAACCCTGTCTCCCAGGGGAGCCTCATAGACTTCTATGTGACCATCTACTTCCATCTCCATCTCAGCGCTGGATGTAAACAGACACGGGGGGCTCCAGTACCATCTCTTGGTAAATATACATATACATGGGCTTCTTAAAGTGCACTTAGTTTTTAACTAACATGGCAATTGTTTCTGATACAGAAAGTGCTTTATCAAACTAAATGTCACAAGGGGGATCAGTGGAACAGCCAGGAGAAGTCAGCAATGGCAGCCTGCATGTTCCCTTCATGACAGGTTCTCTTTAAAAGAAGTCAGCAATGGAAGCTCCGATGTTTCCATCCTCACGGGTCCACTTTAAATGTTCTCTCATCTCCATCAATGGACTATAATGGTACAGAAGATGAAATGGGTCTCTGCAGATCAGCAATAGATCACCCTGATATACTCGGTCACCCCAATTCTCATGCAGGAATTGGGGAGAAGGGGCATTACAATGAGATCACCTCCACATGTCATCATATGACAACCTGTGACCTGACCACACAATAAAGATAACACAAAGTTTTACTGTCACAAGTCACAGGATTAGTATGGAGCCAGCACTGAGTGACATGACACAGACCAGGAACAACAAAGCCATGAGGGGGCTCCTGGTGGCCCCACATACTGACCGTAGATCATGGCCAGGCCGGTCTCATGGAGGAAGCGGAACCTGCGATGCTTGAAGAGCCAGATAGTGAGGATGGTGAGGGTGAGGAGCAGGATGAAGACGAGCAGGTTGGCACTGTCTTGCCGGTGACTAGCCTCCGCCTGCTTCTCGGTGACTATCTCCTCCATGGCGCTGTCCTCCGCCCGGCTCAGGCCTACCGCCATGACTAGAAGCGCCGCCGCCCCGTATCTACTGTCCCGGGAGCCCGGCATCACCGTGCCGCACGGCGCCATGACAGGGGCCGTTCTGCTTGGCAGAGCCCTCCTTGGGAATGAGTCAAAGAGCCGTGACTGCCCGCCCCCGGGAGGAGGAACCTGGCCACCGGCACATGGAGACCGTCATTCATCACCATGACCCGGCTATTATCACTGGCCGGGCTCCTCCATTGTTACTGTGTGTTCCTCACAATAAGACTTTTTATTGAGGTGAACCACCATGGAGGGAATCTGCACAGGGAAATCACCTCACAAACATGGAAAGTCCCGTATATCCATGTTATTCCCCTACACATATATATCTTAGAGCTGCACCGACATGGAAATTTCAAAATGGAAATTAAAAAGAATGTCAGACCGAAACCGAAAATGTTTTTTATTTTAATTTAAAAAAATATATATTTTATTTTTATTTATTTTAATTAAATATTTTTATTTTTTTACTTTACTGTTGGGGGCTTCAGTGAAATATCAATATCAATATATTGAATGAACAGGAGGGGATGTAGATCACGTCCCATTCATTCATAATTGAGGCTATAGTATCCATACCATGTCCTCAATTATGTACAAACACTCAGCGATCACTGAGTGTTTGCACCACTCTCCTTTCTGACACGCTGTCACAGGAGGCTGGGTGGGGCGGTGCAGGGAGGAGAGCTCAGCCTCCTGTGACAGCGTGGGCTGTCTCCGCCCCCACACCGATCTTCCGGACTGAGCGGTGTGGGAGGAGGCTGTGACAGGAGGCTCACAGCGCTCTCCTCCCGCAGCGCTCGGCTGTCACACTTTCTCTTCTCCCCGCTGGGACACAGAGCAGCGCCCAGCGGGGAGGAAAGAAACCACGGATGCATCGCTGTATCGGCAGAAAACTGGCACTTTCGGCATTTAGCTAAAAGTGCCATTTTCAGTCGATATGTTTCGGCGGCCGATATATATCGGTGCATCCGTGCATGCCTTTATACCGGTGCATGCCTTTTTTAAGTTTGTCATTTTTGTAATAACCCTTTTTATGGCAACCTGCCAGAACTAGTAAACAAATGTGTCTATATTTAAAGTAGAACTCAAGCCAAACATGTTTTATTCATTTTGGATAGAGTAAGCTGGAGTTATAACCCGTCAGCTTTTTTTTTTTTGTATCTGTGTCCCATGGGGGAGATTTCCCTTAACTTCCTGTCTGAGAGCCACAACAAGAAGTGAGAGAAAATCCTTCCAAAGTGAGGGAAATCCCTGGAGATCAGCAATGTCCCCAATGGAAGATTTCTCATCTATTTCTGTTCTGAAGACAACCCGAAATTTTGGATTTTCTTTCACTTTCAATGATAATGGTCCCCAGGATAAATAAAGAGGATGAATCTCCCACACAGGGCTACAGACTGAAATAAAACACTGACAGGTGATCTTATCCCTCTCCACTCTATACAAAACTAAAAGTGGGCTTCCGCTGCACTTTAGGGGCTCATTCACACAGGCGTGCACAGGGACCCGATCCTGGGGGACAGGTGCTGCATGTAATTTGAGCAGAAGCATGTAGCTCCCTATGGAAGGACGCAGCTGCATGAGGTTATATGCAGACCGAAACCTGCACATCCGTGTGGGTCCGGGTCTGCATGTAACCGCATAAAGCCACATCCTCCCATAGGGAGGTATAGCCTGCTACATGCAATCATCATGCAGCACCTGTCCATCCTGGGAATCTCTGCAGGGCATGCACGATGTATGGACATGCACGCCCGTGTGAATGAGCCCTAAGAATGCAGTGGGCTTAAGCCCTCGTTCACACCTGAACGTTTTGTAGCGCGTTCTACGCTCGACGAACGCTCTACAAAACGCTCAAAAATATAAATCCCATTGTATTCAATGGTCTCGTTCCCACCTTGGCGTATTTCCGCCCGTCCCTAACGCGCTACAAAACGGCCCACGCCTGAAAAGGTACAGGTACTACTTTGGACCATTTTGTTGCGCGTTTCCATTGGGATACAGCCAAGTAGCCTTCGGAAACGCGCGACGGTCGCGTGACTTTTTTACCGCGAATCGTGGTAAAAAAAACGTGCGACGGTCGCGCGACAGACGCACATATGCAATACGCCTGGGTGTGAACGAGACCTAAGACCCCGTTCACACCGGGGCAGTTTGGCCGCAAGGATCCGCCGACATGAACGATCCCATACATTGCTATGGGGACCGTTCATGATCCAAACCGCCCCAACTGCTCCATGTACTATTTTTGCCGTGCTGATCAGTGCGGCTTTCATACAGGTTTCAATGGAACCGCGCTGAAATGCAATTGAAAACTCCCTAAATCTCCCTTTTTGGATCAGCGCGGTAACCGCGATGATCCGCAACAACCCTGGTGTGAATGGCCTCTTAATGGCCCCTGCAGGTTATAGAAGCTCATTTCAGCTATGCCGGACCTGTTCGTGGGGCAAAAAAACTGCCATCTTCCGCCTCATTATTTGACTTGTTGTTTTTACACATCACACATGTAACATAAGAGTTCACAAATAATAACAAATACACCAGAAACAGGGGAAAACCACTGGTGACATAAAATAAACTACCCCGAGCACTCCCTACAAATTAGATACAACTTCTTTTCATGCAAATCTCACCGAACAACTAAACAAGTGAAATTGAGAGTTTCAGCTTAGGCACAAGATCACCCAG